CAAATAAGATTGTAAGTCCTACAGCGTATACATTACTTGGTTCCAATGATGCAACATCATTGTATGTTATGCCACCAAACACCCCGATGCCGAACACTCAAACAAATGTGGGTTTAACGGAGAATGAATTCGAATCGTTAATCAATAATGTGAGTGCTAATAAAGGTGAAGACGACCAAGATGAGTACATCCCAGTGAACGCTGAACAATGGAAACCTGGGCTACCTGTCATCTGGAATCCACCACCAATCGGCAACAGTAACGCCTTCAGTACTCCACAAACCTTTTCACCACTACCACTAGCACAACTACCACCTCTGCCACTACCACAAACAATGATCTTCAATCCTGTATATCAACCATCATTTCCTAACCAGGACAAAAGGAATTTACTGCTGTCTAGATATCCAGTTGTCAACAGACCAATACAACCACAAAGTCCTCGACAAAGAGCTCCCTGGTTAGGACCACCGATGAGTACTGTTCAGATGAACAGATATACTGCATTCCAACCATATTCATCAATGAAACGTATTCCTTCGTACATGCTCTTCAGAAGATCTCGTAGTTCTCTTGAAAGACCAACTTCGCCATCGAATCAACTTCAAAACTTATTGGCATCAAGAGACGCTGCAACTCTACAACAGAGCAAACAATTTCCAACCCTTCAAAGCACTGTAGCACAACCAAGAACACTTCCATATGTGAACAGTTACGATCGAACAAGAAGGATACTGTTTTAATATGTCTGCTGCAAAACTGTCCAATGGGGATGGAAATACACAATCAGGTGCGTTTAGTGTTGTTAAACACATGTATTAGGCTTTTTCTAATAAATTGTTATGAAACAGTTGGTATTCCTTTTGTGCTACCTGCTAACCGCATTTTGAATGAAGTCGTTTGCATCCAAGTTAGTCGCTTTAGTGGTATACGGCAGACTTGAATGGAATTCCTCCCATCTCTACACAGTTCCAATGAATTTACACGACCCAGTGCACGTACGTAGGGAAGTTAAAATTGATGTGAATACTTGTGACTCACAATGTGGATGTCTGCAGTGAGTTGTTTCCTGAGGAGCTAGGCTTCCAGTTGGAAAACGTAGCAATTTCATGTCGGACGCATTATGTTGAGTGCATCAGACCTTCACGAGAGTGTCTACCCTGCTTGACACTGGGACGTTTGCCAACTAAAAACCGAGCTCCTCAGCCAATAACTCACACTTTAGACACAAACAGGAAACTTGATTACCAGTAGACTTGAGGAATAACAACGAAGCTGTTCAGATTAGGACAGTTGCATGGTTATCAGATACTGCTACTATCTGATTGACGAAATTGTGCAAGCTGTGTTAAATCAATCTTAGCGTACTAAAACTTTAAAGTGCCGTATAGAGGTAATCATGGCGTTCAAAAGTCTATACTCTGTGCTGGATGACGGTGCATTATCATTTCTTTATCGCGTCCTCTATTCCGCTGATAACTACTATCCATCATTAATACTTAACTGGAACTTACAGAATATCAAGGCATACGCATAGAAGTCCGTACACTAGTGAAGGTCGGTCAGTCCGGTCCAACCAATGACGCTAAATTACAAGCAACAACATCAAAACTATGCTGGCTGTAGGAGGAGTAGCCATCGTAACATTGCCATCTAGTGGGTAACGCTCTGGCGCTTGAAGCCACTAGGGACAAAATCACTCACTCACTTAGAGGCAGGTTCACTCGACTGACGACTCCGAAATAGGACGAAATGTGCATCGTCGATTCCCCTGATAACCGCTACCTCTGTCTAGGAATTTAAAAGGTGATATCGCTGATACAAAAACCTTCAGCTATGAGATAGTCAATATATTTTAGAACTTTCTTAGTGAAATCACTTTCGGGTGTTTAATGTTCTTTACACTCTTCCCTGCCAACTCATCCAAGTCAGTTTTTCACTGTGAATGGAGCCTCAATGCTTGTATCTTTGATGAACAAAGTAACTAAATGTCTGACAGCTTTCAGTAACTTTCCCACAGTGTAGCTTAGTGTAGGGTGGAAAACGTAGCGCACCTAAGATTATGCTACATCGGAAGCATGACGAACGTCGAAGGAATTAATAAGCAACTCTAGCAGCAACTAGATTTATCAACTACATTTCTTATTTTTATTGGAAAGGTAGCTTTTTTCATAAAATACAGAACTCTGATTGTTTACTCCAGTAGCTGCTAAGGCGGCCGTTAGAGCTACTCCCAGCATTTATAGTCATATTTGTCGACGTCGTGACAGTTCAAAGTACTTTCCATGGTGAATTTCTTTTTTCTGTAGTCTTTTATGAAATATAAAAAGGCAGTTGGTTATCTAAGCAGTGAATGACTAGAGTGTTTGCCCATTTGGAGTCACTCTTCAACTTCAGTCTGAGTAAGAAACTAAAGTATAAGTACACGTGGAAGCAGCGCAATAGGATATCATCCCTGAACTAAAGGCTTGTTCTGCAGGGCCAACAAAAACATGTCGGTTTTTCTCCATGGAGTGTATAGTTGTAAGCGGTAACCAAACTTCTGCATATTTAGACAGACCACACTGACCAAAGACGCACTCGGGTCAGTATCTCCGCTCATACACATGAAATGGTTAAAAGTCTAAATTTCTTTTCTCTCTATAGTTACAGTATGCATCTTCTGTGGTCAATGTCAATATTTGGGACAGGCAGATTTAGGGTAATTTCGACACGACACAAAATGTTGACAAATCAGAGATAGACGTCTCACTTCCTGGAACTCGTTTTCGTTATCTCTAGTTATAAGGTTGTCTGCTTCGAATTTCGGATAACCTAAACTTGCTGGTTTTGTCAGAACAGAGAAACCGCAGATGGGGATTTCTCCATTTTTATTAGGCTGGAGGCAATTGGTAGGAAGCACTTGTCAACAAGATGTAACTTGAACCTCGACGGAAATAATGTCGCCTCTGAAATCTAGATATACAGGAGGTCGACCATGAAGTGAATAGCCCAGTGGTAACATCTGCTTGCGACACTGGATGAGGTGGGTTCAAATGTCACGAGGGAAATCAGTTCCCTCTGGATTGCAGATATGCCATATTGACAGCAGTCACGAAACCTAGATAGCGCAGTGCTCCCTGCCGATCGCCTCCACCAAACTAACATCTGTCAAAGTTCAATGTATTAATGCATCTTCTAGTTGGCAATGGAATCAAAAGGATGCCGTCAGCAATTAGAACTAGAGAAAAAACCTAATATTAGAAGAACGGGGTATAAGCGAAAGTAAAAAGGGAGAACTGTTTCTTAAACTTTTGTAAACTACTGGAAGCGTGCGGGCGGTTGACAATTTCCGGTTGACTACACCGTGAAAGACTTGCTTTTTTAAGGTAACTGAAAAAGAAGGGTTATAGCGGGGTTCATTGGACATCTCTTTGAAGTCCGTCAAACATTGCCCTTTTAGAAAATCGATAGTTTAATGAATAGCAGATTTTTCCTCTTCCTCTTTACTCCCATTAACTGTTGACCTTTATGCACCAGCTTCCTCTATAACTTTAAGCAAATGTCAACTGTTACCTACCGCCACTGGCTTATCCGTCTCATATGACTTGCCGTATTGCTTGGTCTGAAGTTGGCATTCAGTTTCGTTGACCAAGAGGTGTTGCGGTGGTGTCTAACTGTAAAGGGTATACAGAGTCAGCTTGTAAGGCTAATCAAAGCTCTCGACTCAAACTCACATACCCATGTAAGACTTCAGGAAGAACTGTCATTCGAAATGACGACAACCAATACTCTCCGGCAACGATCACCACTGTCACCACTGATGTTCAACTTCCTTAAAGATGTATGAATAGACATAGGAATTTAGGAATTGATCTGTTCCATGAAGCACACCTAGTTGACTCAGAGTATACAGACAACATTGTACTCTTAGGCGAAAATGCTGAAAAAATCCAGGATCATCGAAACACCTTGAACAGAAATTACAGTGTATATGGCATGCATTTCACCTCTGTCAAATGTAAGATGGTGATACAACATGTATCCAGCTACTTCCAGTTTAAGGATGAAGAGTGAAGCAGTAGAATACGTAGACCACTTCACTTACTTCCAGAATTGCGTCAGTGCAAATGGGCTGGTTGCTGAAGAAATCTCAGCTTGGATATAGATCTGTATAGTATTTGCCAACCTGCTCCATCTATGACACCGACCAGCGAAATATCCGACTACCAGTTTTTTAAACGGTGATTATGCGGCGATGCAGTTCGTTCTGTGCTGTTATACACCTGTGAGACATGGCTGCCAAGAGATGTTGGATGATTACAGGATAAGTAAAAGGTATTCGACAAGATAGGTAAGTTGGTCGATGAGGTAGTGAACCCAGAGTAATTCCATAATGATATTGTGGAACTCATAAATCTGTATACTGGGCAATAATTGAGGGTGAAATGAAAATTTAAACCGTGAGCGGATTCGAACCAGCGACCACCGAGTTTCCGGCCCAGTGTTCTACCAAGGCTCTATTGATGAGCAGATTTTTATTTCACTTCAATCAACCACCAAGGGTTTTGCCGACTACTGTGTGGATTTGTGACGCGTTACTACCGATGGATTATACTCATACTGGCTATCCGGTCACGATTTCGCATCCAAATCTGAGAGGAGGAGCATCATAAACCTGTCTTAACCTTTAACCCAAGTAAGCCACATCGAAACAATACAAAAAGATAATGATGGTAAAAAAAGATATCCAGTACAAAGTCTCAAATTCATCTTTTATGAAACGTATGCATTTACATGTAAGAATTAGGCTAATAGGAAAAAACATAACAAGGCGGAAATCAGGTAAAGACTAATTTATAGGAAGTAAATGACTATTATATCCTAACACTTTGAACGATAATGTCATTTATTTTTGCGCGACATAATAACATCACCCGCTAGTATGTGTGTATATTCTAGGTCGAAGAAATGTGTAGACAAGAAGAAGTAAAGGAACTACATATACTGCTGTTGTATTATCACATGTAATACATGCCAAATCCAAATGCGAATCCAGGTTTCATTTGATCACCAGGTTGACTCTTCAAGGGTATACAATAGTTTAATTCCATGCGTAAAATTCCAGCAAAACGGAACACTAAGCCAACACCGACAACACTACGTGGTTTCCCCCTTAATTCATTCAATAAACAATGACGAAATTCACTTGCACTTGAAGAGGATGAATGTGAATCGAGTAAATTTTGAATTGGTCTTTCCAGTGTAGAACCTTGAAAAAGGAGAAAACAATAATAATAATAATTTTATTCTAGACGTTGTTTTCGATAAAGTACGGAATACTCAGGATTAATTACTACAATAAAAATTAACTCCTCGTATAGTATTTTCAAAAGAAATAAATACTAAGGTTGTATATTCACCACGGTCTGATAACAATTGGGAAACCACTGAAAAACTGATAGCACTGAATAGTTGTTTTATCCTCAACAGTATGCACCACCCGTGACCCAGACATGGATCGAATTCAGAACCTTCAGATTTCATGGCAAACGCGTTAACCATCCAGCCAGTGGGTCAGAGATAAACGGTCCACAGTTTCATACTTCTAATTATAGCGACTGAATAGTCCCAATAATGAGAATGCTAATAATGCAGACGATAATAAATGGATGAAAGTAAGAAAAATTGCTTAGTTGCAGTTACAAAGTTGGTAAGTTCTTTTTCTAACATTCCCTTCCTCATAAAAGATGCGTGCTAAACAAATATGGTTGAGTGTTTGTATTTAGCTATATGAGCCTCATAAAATCATATGAGACAAATAAAGCAGCGGCGATAGGTAAGAGTAAACCGCTACTTAAACTTATCGAGGAACCTCGTGTAAAAACGTCAATAGTGAAACCAAAGAGGAGAAGGATAAGCCTGAGATTCATTCTCCCTGAAGAGACAACAAGAACGATGGCTGCTACCTTGACGAGGTGACAGGGCGTGCATATTATAATGACTGAATGAGTTATGCTGGTGGAACGCTTGTTCCCCCAAGGCCACATCGTACTACAAAAGTCTGTTGCATAGTAGTTGCACAAAAAGCAGTTACAGTGGTAGTGTAAACTTTTACGCCAAGATAGGGGTCAGAAAACGAGTCGCGTATCGACCAGATCTTCACTCTTCGACAGGTTCCAGAACATAGGCATAATTACCAACACTTGCTATATTTCTTCACCTGAAGGTGTCAGTCGGTTTCGTTGACTGAAAAATGTCTTTGATACATCTAAACGTGAAAGGAGTACAGAGCCAGCTTGTAAGGCTAATCAAAGCTCTCGACTCAAACTCACATACCCATGTAAGACTTCAGGAAGAACTGTCATTCGAAATGACGACAACCAATACTCTCCGGCAACGATCACCACTGTCACCACTGATGTTCAACTTCCTTAAAGATGTATGAATAGACATAGGAATTTAGGAATTGATCTGTTCCATGAAGCACACCTAGTTGACTCAGAGTATACAGACAACATTGTACTCTTAGGCGAAAATGCTGAAAAAATCCAGGATCATCGAAACACCTTGAACAGAAATTACAGTGTATATGGCATGCATTTCACCTCTGTCAAATGTAAGATGGTGATACAACATGTATCCAGCTACTTCCAGTTTAAGGATGAAGAGTGAAGCAGTAGAATACGTAGACCACTTCACTTACTTCCAGAATTGCGTCAGTGCAAATGGGCTGGTTGCTGAAGAAATCTCAGCTTGGATATAGAAGATCTGTATGGCATTTTCATAATCTCTGGCGCCGACTGGCGAAGATACTCAACTATCTGAATTTTAGAGAAGGAGCAATACTAAGCTGCAGTTCGTTCTCTCCTGATCATACGCCTGAGACACAGTTGTTAAAAGTGGAAGATATGAAGCGCTTACACAGTTCCGATCACCGGTGTCTTCGTAACATTGCTCGTGTATAGTGGAATTACTGTGTGAGCGATTTATACCTTATGCGAAAGGTGGTAGGTAAGGTTATGAAACTTCAGCGACTGGGGTGGCTTGGATATGTGTTGCGCAAGTCAACGTGCAATGCTAGAAGAAGCTGGACCAGGTTGGAAAAAGGGCCAGGGTGGCCTAACGAAGGCGTGGCACCAGTCCATGAAGTCTTTGAGCCGTATAGGGAGATATAGACTAGCTGACTTGGGTACCCGAAACGACAAGAATCATTAGTTGAGGACTCTTGGTGACATGGCTGGAATTCGATGACAATGGCGCAAATGTATTCACTATTTGACGTCTTCTAAAGCTTTATCTTCAAACTGTTTATTCTCCTCTCACACAGCTTCGTCTACTGTGATATCAGTCTTTTCTATCCATTTGTTCTCTGTATATTACCGTGACGTGTGACAGCTTAGAGGCCCGACCGATAGCTGCTACCTTGACGTGGTGGTCGGGCTTGCATATCACAATGACCCAACGAGCTATGCTGGTGGAACGCTTGTTCCCTCGAGGTCCTACCATACCAGAAAGGTCTGTTGGGTAGTGGTTAGACGAAAAGCAGTTACCGTTATAGTGTAAATTGCTACACTATGATGGGGGTCTGAGGGCGAAGTCGTACTGCTGCTAGCTGGATGGGGTGTGACAGCAGTAAGGTGTTTCCCTTGGATGACCAGCAGTGCCATGCTGATGCTGCCTTCTCAGTGGAAGGGGGGGTTAGAAAAGGTCGGCCCCAAAAATAACACACTCCACCACGCCCCACGGTCTGCCGGGCCGGCGGTGTTGGTTCACTTGTCGTTTCCTTTCGACCATCCGGCCCCAAAAATACAAAAGTTCAAAATAATCATACTCAAAAGGCTGGGTGTGACAGGCCTCAAGCAGATGTCCGATGGGCTCTGCGGTCACACAAATCTCTTTCAGGTACCTTAAGAAGAAATAGCCTTCCACGGTGTGGGCAGCCGGGAAGTGTCAACCGCCCTCACAACTCTGTCAGCACCCAAGTTTCTTCTGACTGCTATCCTCCTCCTCCATCATTACCTTCTAATCTTCCTTCACGTCTCTTAATTAATGATGCTGCATCATCTTCAATTTCTCCTACCTCTGCAGCCTTCGACAACGATCTGAGTCCACAGAACAGCATCCCTGGTCTCCTTAAACCACGCTCCAAATTACATATTGGAGCCTTCAATGTCCGCACCCTCCGTCAAATTGGCCAACAGGCTTCGTTGGCAAAGACTCTAGCAACTCGGGCATGGATGTGTGCTGTGTTTGTGAGACACGCATACAGGACCCAAGTGTGGTTATTCACCTGACCTCTCCTGACCAATCTGGTGAATCTGCAAAATTCACCCTTCGAGTTTCTGGAGATTCGATAGCTAGCTCTCGTGGTCTTGCAGGTGTAGGTATAGCATTAAGCACCAGGGCAGAAAACTCACTACTAGACTGGATCCCAGTTGATAGTCGCCTCTGCGCTATGAGGCTGAACGGCACAGTGAGAACTAAAAGGAATAGTGAGACTCGCCGTTGTCTCTTTGTAATCTCTGCTTACGCACCCACTGACTGTAGTTCGGATGAAGTGAAGGACGAGTTCTACCATAAACTGTCTAACCTCCTCTCGAAAGCCAAACGTTCGGACGTAGTGGTTGTTGCAGGTGACCTCAACGCACAGGTGGGTAGACTGAGTGAGGCAGAAAGGCACTTAGGTGGCACTTTCGGAATCCCAGCTGAACGTACAGATAACGGTGATCGCCTATTACAACTATGCTCAGATAACCGCCTATTTTTAGCCAGCACAAATTTCAGACATAAAGAAAGGCACTGTCTGACCTGGCGTCCACCGAGCTCGACTCAGCGATGGACACAGATAGACCACATTGCTATTAGTCATCGCTGGAGAGGATCGGTGGAAGACTGCCGCTCCTTCTGGAGTACGTGTTTGGACAGCGATCATGCGTTGGTCCGAGCACGTATATGCCTGCGTCTCAATGGACGTAGAAAAAATTTGGCAACAAAACCACTACGAGTTCTGCTGGACAACGAAAACACCAAAGCCGTGTTCAGTGAGAAGTTGGCTAGGCAGTTATCGGAACAAAAGACTGTCACTCATCCAGAAGAAGCTTGGTGCCATCTTCAGTCTACTGTAAAAGCAGCACTGGAGACTGTAGCCGACTCCAAGATAATGGCTAAAAAGAGCCAGTGGATATCAGCAGCTTCTTCCAAACTAATGGATGCACGTGAATGCATCCCTGCAGGCTCTGAGTACAATGAAGAGCGAGCGCAACTTAAAAATAACTGACGAAAAGTCTGCGCAACGATCGTGAACAGTGGTGGGCAGCGAAGGCTAAAGAGATGGAAAAGGCAGCGGCGATCGGTAACAGTAGACAGTTATTTAGACTTATTAAGGAGACTGGGGGGAAAGGTCAACAACAGTTAGTGAGGTTATAGCGGAGAAGGACGGATCTGCGATTCACTCGCAGGGGAGGCGACTGGACGATGGGCAGAACACTTCGAGGAACAGTTTAACTGGCCTCCAGCCACCATTGCGCTGCCCGCTATCCAGTCGGACCCTGAATGGGACATAGAGACAGGTCCCCCAACACTAGAAGAAGTTGAGAAAGCGGTAGGTAGCCTGAAACGGGAAGGGCAGCAGGACCAGACGGACTACCTGCTGAGGTATACAAGAATGGTGGTAGAGTTCTCTTAGTCAGGCTAACGGAAGTGTTAGCCAGTATATGGGAATCAAATACGATCCCCTCCGACTGGTCTAAGTCACTCATCATCCCAGTCTTCAAGAAAGGCGAGAAGTCCTCTTGTGATAACCACAGAGGAATCAGCCTGACAAACATAGTGTCTAAGATCCTAAGTTCTATAATTCTCCGACGCCTGAGTGGAGCTCGGGAACAGCAAGCCCGAGAAAACCAGGCAGGCTTTAGACCTGGCCGTGGATGTATCGACCAAATATTCACACTGCGCCAGGTCCTGGAACATAGGCATGCTTACAGACGCCCGACAATAGCTGTATTTCTCGACCTGAAGGCGGCATTTGACTCCGTTGATCGAGAAGTCTTATGGCAGTGTCTGTCACTGAAAGGCGTGCCTAGTAAGTACATCACCTTATTGAAAGCTCTCTACTCGAACACTTGTGGGCATGTTAGAGCCTATGGTGAGTTGTCCAGGGAGCTATACTCATCAAGTGGTGTCCGTCAAGGATGCCCACTATCCCCATTCTTATTTAATTTTATCATAGATATTCTTATGGAGGTTTCCCTCTCGTCACCTAATTACAAAACGTTGACCCGATCACAGGTGAATTTTCTTTAGATCTAGAATATGCAGATGACATAGTCCTGTTAGGTGAAGACGCTGACAAGATGCAGAGTCTTCTGAACACTTTGAGTGGGAATTTGAGAATGTTTGGGATGCGATTTTCACCACCCAAATGCAAATTTTTGCTCCAGGACTGGTCTTCAGCGGTACCGCGGTTAACAATAGAGAGTGAAGTGGTTGAGTGTGTTGACCACTTCACTTACCTGGGAAGTAGGATCAACCCGGTGGGTTAGTTGCCGATGAGATTTCTGCACGGATACAAAAGGCTCGATTGGCTTTTGCCAATTTGCGCCACCTATGGCGCCGCCGTGATATTCGTTTGTCTATTAAGGGTCGCGTGTACTGCACAGCAGTCCGCTCTGTTCTACTGTATGGCTGTGAAACATGGCCATTGAAAGTGGAGGACATGAAAAGGCTTCAGGTGTTTGACCACCGTTGCCTTCGTAGTATAGGACGTATTCCGTGGTGTCACCATGTGAGTAATGCAGAAGTTAGGTGTAGAGTTTTGGGGAGAAGAGGTAAGTCAGTCGACGAGGTTGTGAACCTTCATCGACTGAGATGGTTGGGACACGTACTACGTATGCCTAGTCACCGATTGCCTCGTCACACAATGTTGGCTGAGGTGGGTCCAGGCTGGAAAAAGGCCCGAGGTGGCCAGACTAAAACATGGCACCAATGTATGAAGTCTCTGACTGTTGGTTTAAGCCATGTAGGACGATGCAGACTAGGTGGTTGGGGTCCACGGGACAAGAGGAACCAGTGGTTGGAGACCCTAGGTGATATGGCTCAGAACCGAAGTCAGTGGCGCAGATGTATACACACATTATCCTCATCTTAACAACGCTATACCGAATCTCACTATTTTGTCACTCCTCTTTCCTTTCTTCTCGTACTTTATATTTCTTTTGACTGCATTCACTTATCTTCATCCTTCACCTCACTACCTTTTTACTTGATGTGCTGATATGAGGTGTGGCAACTCGGACCGTTACGCAGTAATGCCTGGTCCTATGTTGATAATGATGATGATGACAGCTTAGAGGATGCACTTGTGTGCAAGGTTCTGTGTTAATTTTGTCTGTCTGTCTAGGACTTCGAGGAACAGTTCAAATGGCTTTCACGTGGTATTTTTTTTGTCCGCTTTCCAGTTACATGCTGAATGGAACATTGAGATAGGACCCCTAACAAATACAGAAGTCGTGAAAGCTGCAAGTAACCTAAAGGGACAGCAGGACCTCAGAGGAATCAACCTGACTTAAAGTGTCTAAGATTCTACGTTCTATAATCATTGGAAGTTTGAGTGGAGCTCGGAAACACTAAACTCAATAAAACCAGACAGGCTTCAGGTCTCGCCGTGTGTCGAACACATATTCACTCTCTACTAGGTTCTGGTACACTTACTGACAACCGACACTTGCCGTATATCCCGATCTGAAGACGGCATTTGACCCCGTTGTTTGAGCGGTTTCACGTCAGTGTCTCTCACTGAATAGAGTGCCAAGTAACCACTCTATTGAAGGTTTAGTGTTCGAATACCTATGGGCGTGTTAGAGCTTATTGTGAGTTGTCAGGTGAGTTGTGTACGTCCAGTGGTGCCCCAACAAAAATGTCCACTCCCTGCTTTTTCATTCAACTTTAAAACAGATGTTTACGCAAGTCTTTCTCTCGTCGTCTGACTTTACAACGACTGATCTTATCACAGGAGAATCATTGGTAAATCTAGAGTTCGCAGATGAAGTAGTCCTGTGAGGTGAAAACACTGATTAGATGCAGCTCCAAATGGACACGTTGAATGGCAATTTTCGAATGTTCGAGCTGCGTTGCTCTAACTGTTGGTCTGAACGATATGGAGGAACGTAGGGTCAATGTGACATTGAAATCGGTGGTTTCAGACTCCAGGTGCGAAGGGTACCACACAAGACAGGAGAGTCAATTGATGAGGTTGTGACTGAGATGGCTTGGACGTGTACTGAGCATGCTGAGTCACCGTCCACCTCGATGTGCTATGCCAGGGGAAGTTCGATTAGGTTGGAAGGGGGATCATGGTAACCAGGCCAAGACACGGTACCAACCAATGAAGTCTACAACTGTTGGTCTAAGCAGTATGGGGTGATATAGACTATATGGTTGGGGTCCCCGAGATGATAGGAATCGATGGATTGATATGCCTAGAAATCGGTAACAATAGTGCAGATGTATTCACTCCTTGACATCTTATAAAGCTTGAATATTTGCGCTAACCTTTATCTTAAGATTGTTTATTCTCTTACACAAATTTGTCTACTTTGAAATCACCTGATTTCTAGTTCCCTGTTTTCTGTGTACTACTGTGAAGTGTGGTAATTTGAGCCGGGGTACCTGTGTGCGAAGTTTTACGTTGGTTTTGTCAACAATAAAACATACAACACTGGGTGGGACGGAGCATGACTGTAGCAAACAACCTTCATTGAACCCAGCACACAATCACAAGGTTACGTACTATTCCACTGCACATGGATGATTTGGTAACATAGTGTCACCTGAACGTCATTAAAGCATATGACAAGCCAGGTAAGTGGTTTTTATGCATTAGACACAGTTCAAATTTTGAACTTCATGTTCCACAAAAAGAAACGTATAGCATGCAAAACGCTACGAGGACAACTGATGATCGATAACTAGTGGAAGTGCTGCACCTTATTAGTCTCGGAATTCGGTATTCAACCGTAGGATCAGGGGTTAGAACCCCACTCCACTTACCAGTCAAGGCAGTCAGGTAGTGTTACTAATCTTCACGCAATAGGTTTAACTCACTACCTAGTTATACGGATGAGTTATGCAGAATAACTTCTACTGGCAGTAAAAGGTAACATCTAACCTGAAGAAATCAAATTTTAAAAAGGTCTAGAGTGTGTGAACTTTTTTTTTCTGTTTGGAAAAAGGTCAAATATTTAAATAATGTACACTGAAGTTTACTCACCTGTTAGAAAGAAACTATGCAAACGAAACTGAGCAGCCAACGAACCTTCTTCAGCCCCCCAATATGGCAAAGGAGTATATAAATGGACGCCTGTCAACCAGAAAGCATCAGCACCAATAGGTGATGGTGTTGAGTTACTAGGTACAAGTGGTGGAATTAACTGTGCATTATCACTTGTATTTATGTCAGGATTTCCTAACGTTTGAATTGTTGGGACAAGCAATGGTTCCGATGGACTTACAGTACGCCATTGGAATCCACGAAGTTCTAATGGTCCACCCAGGAAGAATCGATCAGAAATGTGTACCTAAAATAAATGAACCTATCGAATCATCATTCAAACATCAGCGATTTTCGTTAATCACTTTAAGTCTTTTTAAAAATTTCGATGTTGGAAAATATTATTATTTTTCTATAATGACGAGTTGGCTTTACAAAAAAAAAAAGATTATTTTTAAACTTATGCAAAAATTGTATAGACTTGAATTCGACTCTTTAAAAGTACCTAATTCTCAGTCACACCTAACATTGTACAAGCACCAGCCAGTGAGCTACATTTCGATGCAATAATAGTTCCCTTAATTGGATTTTTTTTTATCGAATTATCAGTGGTTGAGGCGGCGAAGATTCATCATGTTAGCAACAAAAGGTTCCATTTAGAGTACACAAATAACACTATATATATATATATATATATATATATATATATATATATATATATATATATATATATATATATAAGTGAATGCCTTGACAACACTAGCTACGTGAAGAGTCACATTAGCCTAAATGGATTCATGGCCAATGAAACTTCGACACGGATACAAAACGCTTGATAAACTATTGATACATTACACCACTTGTGCTACCGACAAGACACGCAAACTTCCAGTGTAACTATGACTCTCTTGAGGCAGCATAGATCCGCTCCATGATTACGTGCCAGGGCGTCAGTGTGAAGAGGCTCTACACGGAGCGTGGTTACGTAGTAGTAGATTGTTCTTGCTGGCTCGTGAAAAGTGAGGCTGCTTTATGCCCTGAGTATTACACGTCGAGTATAGTTGCTCACGACGGTGAGCCTCCTCGAAGCCCCACTAAATATCAACCAGTACACCATCAAGATGACTTGCTAAAACTTGAAGTCGACGGAGTCCATATGTGCAAAACCAGTGACGCGGGTCTCCAAAGCACCGACGGTTTTGTGAGCCAACAGGATTCCGCCCAGTGAGCTGAGCGAAGTGCAACCAAAAGGTAACGTGAATACAGCTTCCTAATTTCGGTACACACTGTTATTGAAGCAATCCCGGGAGACGAGTGTAGTCTTCCCTTGTGAACGTGAAGGGCATTCGGTCTGGGTTGCCATTGCCACTAGCCCTACCCTTGGTTGCACATAATTACCCCAAAGGAAGCCACAGCCGTGAATTTGTAGGCATTATAAGTTCAAAGGATAGGCCTCCTAGACGAATATCTTTTCAGGAATGTGAGTTGCACTTAGCTCTGCAAGGTTATGCAGACAGGTTATGCAATGAGCAGCGTCTCAGGCATGTCTGCTCATGCGGAGGTAAGTACGGCCAACGAATAGGTCACCCGATGAATGTGAATCCTCTGAAGTCTGACAGTTGGTGGGGGGGCGGGGAGTAGGATAAACCCCATCTGCTTGAGGGAGCAAAAATGTTCGTTTTCACATGCATGAGTTGCTTGGACGTTTCCTGCTCGGCAAGGTTTGTGTCAGAAAGTCCATAGATCTGAAGAGCGGTCTGGAACTTGAACCTGAGCCGAAAACTCGAGCGAAACCTCAGATAGTTATTCAATAAAATCTGATTACTAGTCTCATTGGAGTAGGAAAGAATGAGTTTCTGAGTTGCAGTTTACCAGATAATCGAAACAGATGGTGGCACACTGTTACATACCACAAAAATCAGACACGACGTCACCGCGCCGCATCCTCAGAACTGAAGATACCTCTGGGACTGCTACTTGAAACTTTTAAACTACCTCTAATCTATGCAGAATCAACCCGACGGAACCCGGAGGTCAAAAAAGAGGTTTCACCATGGCGACTATCTGATTGCAGATCTCAAATAATACGTTTCCAAATCGACTTGAAGGGATGGAGGTACTAAATTTTGTTGTGCGTGTTCATCTTTTTGAGGGGGAAGTGTTATATACCCCTAATTTTGCCTGTAGCTTATAACCTTAAAATAACCCATCATTGTTGTTTTCGCACTGTTCCTGGCTTTTGTTCTTCCGATAACCTCTGAAGGCTGAACTCTCATTGGTTGTCAACTTTTTTAACTTATTAGTGAATTCAGTGTCTGTCAACGTCGTTTAGAATGTATATATTCAGTATCCCTCTCAGTTGTTTTGACTGTCGTTGAGACAGTAAAAGCTCTCTGTCAACGGTTTGTCTTCTCTTCTTCGCTCGTAGACTCTCAAGTCACATTACCTCTCATAGCATACACTTTCAACGATATGGCTCAGGACCAATCACAGTCTTCGAAATCATATTATTAAATATCTTCATTACTTTTATAGCTCTTTAAGACTACTGAGATCGTTATTTTAATTTTACCATACATCATAGGAAAAGAGAAAACGCGGTTACAGCGAAGAAAAGTCTTTCTTTTCGATGAAGTCATTTAATAAGCTGTACATTCGTGAATGTTACAGTAGACAGAACTTTCCAAAATTATTACCGGTCAAGGGGGAAAATTTACTGAATAACTAAAGAAAGTTAATTAATACATATTTAGGTTTAGAATGGGAAAATAGATAAGGAATTGTGAAGTTAAATGTAATTACGTGATACAGGATAAATCTATGACAGTCAAGACCCTATAATGGCCATGTCAAAGATAAAGGTTGGACGCATAACGCTGGTTCGAACTTCTGGATGGCTAATGCTTCAGCTATAGACAAATGCCTTGACCGTACCCACCGAGTAGTTTGATCGAACCCTGTGTTACGTAATCATACACCCTATTTTCCTACTCTGTCACTGATTTGTCCTGTATTACATTATTATATTTCATTTTCTAATCCTTTGCTTACTTTTCCACTTTAAACCCAAATGTATGTTCGTTAACTTCCTTTAGTTATTGAGTATATTTTGCCCCTTGACCGGAAATGACTCTGGAAGGTCCTACCTACTGTAACACATATTTACGAATGTACAGCTTAGTAAATGACTTCGCTGAAAAGAGAAATTTTTCTTCGCTGTAACCCCCTTTTGTTTTTATTATATATCTTCCTTCTTGATGACTTCCCCCTTGTTAGGCTGATGCTGAGTGTAGCAGTCAAGATGGATAAACAATTTGACTATTTCCTAAACTGTTAGTCCCTGTCACATATAGATCGGTAAGTAATAAGTGATACATCGCAAGAACAGGCTGGCTTCCGGAAGAACAAATTATATGAGGATCAAACTCCAACGCTACGCATCGTCACAGAACAGAGTATAGAATGGCAGTCAACTCTCTACCTCAACTTTGTCCACTTCGAAAAGGCCTTCGACAGCGTCGACCGACAAGTAATTTGGCTGCTGCTTCAACACTACGGTTTTAATGCTAAAAATCTTTACCAACCTCATTAAACAGCTATATGATGACGCCATATGCCAGGTGATCCAAAATGAAAAGCTCAGTGATGCTTTTGAAGTGAAGACAAGAATAAGACAAGGCTGCCTACTATCATCCGTGATCTTCCTGACTGTGGTCAACTGGATCATGCAGCAAACAGTGAGGAACGAGAAGATGGGCATATGCTGTCTGGACCGATGAGAAGACCCTAGAAGGTTTGGATTTCGTCGATCATGATTTATGTCTAATGTCTTATGTCGCACAAACTCGAAGATCTACAGGCGAAAACGGGACTTCAAGTGAATGTAGAGAAGACAGTGGTGATGAAGATACCCAACCAACAACAAGCACCAATCACCATCAACGGAGAAACGTAAAGGAAGTTGTCTCTTCCACCTACCTATGCAGCATCGTTTCAACTACAGGTGGCGGCACAGACGAGGATGTTAAAACCAGGACCGGAAAAGCAAGACAGGCTTTCATTAATCTGCAATCAATGTGGAGATCTACTGCACTCAGCACAAAGTGCGAACAAGATCCGGATTTTCAACACCAATGTCAAGTCAGTGATGCTATATGGTTCAGAAACGTAGCGTGTCAAGAAAAGCATTTCCAACAAACTACAGACATTCATCAACAGCTGCCGCCTACTCTCACTCGACACTGACACTGAAGATCAGATGACCAGAAAGAATAAGCAACAAGGAACTCCGGGAACGAACCAACCAGGTACCTATCAACCAACAAATATGCAGAAAAAGGGAGTGGAGATGGACTAGGCAAACACTAAGAAGGCCGACTGGGGATATCACGTGACACGCTAGACCGCTGAGTGGAACCCAGAGGGGAAACGACGAGTTGGGCTTCTGTGTGAGGGTGACATGGAGGAGATCACGTGACGAAGAAGTGAAAGCTTGTGGGCAGTTATGGCGCCAGGTTCAAAAGAGTGCAGAGAAGAGAGTGCAATGGAGGCGTGCTACTGAAGCCCTATGTTCCACTAGGAACCCAAGGGAAAAATAATAATTTAATAATGATACATCACAAATCATCAAGTCAAGCACTTTCTGCGTCATTTGAAGTACAATTCAATGTGCGTGATCTCAGTAAGTTATTTTACTAGCGCATGTCTAAACAAACGTCACGATGAAGTGCTCCAAACAGAATTAGGACTCAAATCAGGTGTATAAGAAAGTCAAAGTGCTAAAGGTGCCTTACAATCGAATACCTACGACTTACTCACTTTCAGTGACCATGTATCCCGGCTTTAGATCAAAACAATAGCAGACTTCAGTGTAGCAAGTTCACTCATAAGTAGGTATTTAAATAACGCTATCGATAAGATTGTTTAAAATTTTCTGAGGAAGCTATAGGTACGCTGTAAAGACATCTCATCAAAAACCAGAACACATTAGACCTAACAAAAAAGTTAACGCGCCAATCCACTTTACTCTCTGAATTTAAAACAGGTTTTCGTACAGGCTACGTCTTAATAATTATCTTGAATCCAAGTCATACATTTTGAAATTTCTGCTCAGTATCCAGAAAAACCTGCATAACATGATGCTCAGAGAGTCTCTTAGAATAAGATCAAATACTGAGGACTGAAAATTAAGCTGAGTCACTTGTAACGGAAAACAGCTTCAAACGAACACAGCAAATACCCTTTTTCCTGACAGAAATATCATCATCAAAATCAACACAGGACTAGACATTACTGCGGAACGGTCCAAGTTGCAATACCTCATATCGACATAAGCAGAAAGTGGTGAAGGACAGAAAGGAGGAATGAGAAAATGATGAGACTAAATATAGCAGTTAAGATGGGGATAATATGTGTATACGTCTGCACCACTGATTTCGGTTCTCAACCATATCACCTATAGTCTCCAATTAATGGTTCCTCTTGACTGGCAGATCCCAACGGACTAGTCAGCATCACCCTAAATGGCTTAAAGGAACAGTCAAGGACTTTATGCATTGATGCCACGTTTTAGTCTGGTCATCCCGAGCCTTTTTCCAACCTGAACCTACTTCGGTTAACATTATACGTCAAAGTAGACGGCGGCTAGGCATACACGACACATGTCCCAGCCATCTCAGTCGATGAAGGTCCATAACAGTATCAACTGACTTTCCACTACTCCTTAAAGCTCTACGTCTGACTTCTACGTTACTTACGTGGTGACACCACAAAACATGGCCTATGCTACGAAGGTAACGGTGGTTAAACACCTGAAGCCTTCTCAAATCTACCTTTAGTGGCCATGTTTCACAGCTATACAGTAGCCGAACAGAGCAGAGTGCGGCACAGTACATCCCAACCAATCGGATGTCGCGAAGAGACCACAAATGGCGTAAGTTGGCGAAGGCCAGCCGAGCTTATTGCATCCATGCAGAGATTTCATCGGCCAATGAGCCGCCGGAGCTGATCCGACTTCTAGGGTAGCTGAAGTGTTCAACGCACTCAACCACTTCACTCCCTATCGTTAAAGACGAGACTTGGAGCAGCAATTTGCATTTGTGCAGCGACAAACGCATCCCAAACATTTAAAAATTGCCACTCAAGGTGTCCAGAAGACTCTACATCTTGTCACCGTCTTTACCTAACACGACTATATCATCTGAGTATTCTAACCCTACCGAAAATCCTTCTGCGACTAGGTCAGTGCCTGTGTAGTCAGATGTCGAGAGGGAGACCTCCATAAGAACGTCTATGATAAATCTGAATAAGAATGGAGAGAGTGAGCATCCTTGAGTGACACCACTCGACGTACACAGCTCACCCGACATCTCACCATAGGCTGTAACACGCCCACAGGTGTTCGAGTAAAGAGCCTTCAATAAGATGATGTACTTACTCGGTACTCCTTTCAATGAGAGACATTTCCTTAAGACCTCTCAATCGACGGAGTCAAATGCCGCCCGACGAAAACAAGATTACCATTAAAAGAGTTAGATGAAGGAAAGAGCGTTTAGAATAAATGCTTTGGAAAAATCAACTATCACTTTATTTATCAATCACGCAGAGATGAACAATGGGGAACGCTTAAAGTTGAACTTGAAAGGAGTTCCCATCACGAACTGAAATCAGTTGAAGCAACAATAAAAACCTTGGAGCACTCAAGAGTTGTTCCCCTCCAGTTTGAAATTTTTAAGCAGTGCATACTACTATCCGATGTAATCAGAGGGCGCATGCCTGACTATCGCACTATATCACGAAATGATATGAGTTGGAAATAGTAGATCATTGGATACTGACCCAGTAGCTGAATGGAAGCACACCTGCCGTGAGATTTGATGATCCTAGGATCGACTCCTCAGGGGGCCATGGGTGGGCATTGCCAAAAAGTTCTAAACTATGACGAAATAGCTGTCCAGTGCTCTAGGCTTTTTCAACAGTCTTCCAAATCATGTTGGGAATTACTTTTACTAACCAATAAATGAAACATGGATTCACTGTCAACAAATATCCCACCGTAAAAAGTGAGAAAACTGAACAGCCATACAATCGATGTAGAAAAAACAGATCATAACAATTTTTGAAATTTTCGTAATTACATTATGAAAAAAAAACATTATACATTAGTAGGCATGATTAGGGTAACATTAATTCTTACCGGATGCCTAGTCAATGAATGAACTAAACCAGATGAAAACGTCACTTCACCGACAAGCCAATCGCACAAACGAAATGGTTTTTGTAGTAAACTTTCTAATTTTAATTGTAACCCTCGATCAATTAGGGGCCCAGTGGCACTGAAGAACGATACAATATTAATGATTGGGTTTGAGATATTGTCAAAACTTGCAAGTAATAATTATTGAATGCAATCCGAAAATATAAGCATTTCAATTTGAAGGTTAGTGGGGATCTATTTGTTGATTTCAAGCTGGCATTCATCATGAACTGACACCAGTTGGATAAACATTGGAAACCTGGAAGCACTGGACAGCTATTCCGTCTTAGTATAGGACTCTACAGCAGTGTGTACCCATGACTTCTAGGTTCTGCAGCCAGCTACTGGGTCGGCATCCAATCGTCCACATTTCCTACTTCTGTTAGTACATGATATAGCGCGACCTCCATCCAATGTCGTCGTTGAGTAGCTGTCCTCACATCCGACTTGACAGGAGTAGGAAGTGTTGATGATTGACTGCGAACCCAGTAGCTTCAATGTTAACGTGCTGGTCGTAAAACCTGAAGGTGCAGGGTTCGAACCCTGGCGGGGCTGTGGATGTGCACTGTGGGGAATTTCGCTTTATATCTATTTATTTTTATTACACATTGGCTCAGCATGAACAGGCATTCATGAGATGAAAACCCAATCTACTGTGCGAGGAGCTAACATTGTTATTTAGTCACAGAAAGCTTGATAGGTGGAACAGTCTCTGAACCCATCAATTAGTGACTTCAAGTAGAGTACGTAAACCAGCAAGCTACAGCACAACATACATATTGGAAGCCTTCCATGATTACATTCTAAAACATAACAATATCCAAATGTATATATAAACACATATCGATATGTATGCTCGCTAGTGGAAATCATTTTGAAAACTGATAGGAAGCCGCCTAAATCGAAATTTGCAATATAAGCCATTAGCCGCCAAGGTAGAAGTTCTGGATTCCAATCTTTGTTTCATGTTATTCCATGGTCAGGAAAAACCCTACTAAATAACTTTGTCCTTCAGCTGACCAATGAAAACAAGCATCCAACTTCAGACCTAGTGGCTTTATATTCTGAGGGAAAACTGTATATAAATAATGTATTTAGGCAAACAAAGTGTCTTCCTTTCAGTCACAGGCCCTTCTTCGTCTTCTGATTTTCCTGACTAAGTGAAGCATCACGTTCTGAGACAGAATAGTCGCTATTCATATTCGCTCTAACTACCTCGTGTTAGAAGAGCTCTCGTATCTCGCATTACTCTGTCAGTCACCTCCAATTGGTCACTTTAAAAGCCATCCCTTTAAACTAACGCCAATTCTCATTATGTCTGTAAACGACCAAACTCCATTGGGTAGTAACAGAAACTATATACAGCTGAAGGTAGAACATTGTGTCAATCTCAATATTGCTAATGTTATATCCCGAATATCCAACTAGTAGGTGTAATTGTATTCGAGCCAGTCGGTTCATAAACCACAGTCACATTAATTAACTCATGTTTATGCTAAAAACTAGCTTCACGGCAAGTTCCCATAGATTATTGATAGGTCAACTAAATTAGATCTTTGATATAGAAAATCAGCACTTATCATGATACGGCTAGTGTTGAGTCAGATGTCTGTCTATATAAATACAATAACAACATCCAGAATAACAAATATTAAGTCTTACCTAGAAGAGGCATTACCATTAACAGTATAGTGCCCCGTTTGACTACCCGGAGTTACTGAAGCCATCTCTTGACTAACTTTAAATAAATAACCAGAATCTGGGAAAACGAGATCTGGACGAGCATCGGATTCAAAAACATGTCGAAGACTGGTTTTTAACGCTGATCCACTTTCTTTGAGAACACTTAACGGTGCGGTATGATCTAAAATTGAGAAAAAAATAACACTGATTACAACATTATGCGACAATCATAAATGATACTTCTCGTTAAGACTCCTTCTGGAAGGAATTATATCAAATGAATTTACTGTTCAATGATATGAGTCAATAACATACCTCAGAATGTAAGAAGAATATGATTTCGCCTATTTACTTCTGAATAGTACCTAAAGATACTCTTGAATAAATTGAAGAACAGGCTTTTCAAACTATGTGAAACTGTCTTATTGGTTTAGAGAAACGTCTTTTAACCAGTGAGTCACAGGTTTGAGCCCCAAAACACCTATTAACGTTTAAGCACCCAGGGCACCCAGTACCATTAACCTTCATGCAACAAGTGTGAATCATTGCCTACTGTATGAATCTGCACAAGGCTGATGAATGCATTTCAAAATATTTCCATTTCACTTACAAGCAATCCATGTGCCTAGCCTGGCAGAAATAGTTGAAATGATTTATGCGTACGGTAAATAATTCAATCGTTATAATTTATACCCTTATACTATTGAACGACATTACATAATAAAGAAACATAAGAACAAGTCTTCAAGTAAATCAACAACTGTATCCACCTTCAGTATGTAGACCATTAACGAGTACCTACATGGGGATAGCGTATATAGACATCTTCTCTAAGAAAGTTGATTGTTTAAAAATCAACTCTTCTTCCTTGTTTGATAGGCCGTTTGTACGACGGACAGATACAGACAGGATCAACGTGAAACCCTGCACACAACTCCATCGCTTTAAGTTGTTATTCTTCACAGTAGTAATATCAAAGTAGACAAAGTTGGGTGAAAGAAAAAACAATTTGAAGACAAAATCTAGTGTGAATATTCAAGCTTTATAAGACATCAAGGAGCAATTACATCTGCGCCACTGCTACTGAGTCCTAAACCACTAATTCCTATTGTCTTGGGGACCCTAGCCAGGTAGTCTACGTCTCCCAACACAGCTCAGACCAGCAGTCATGGACTTCATGGGTTAGTGCCACGCCTTGATCTAGTCACCATGAACCCTCTTTCAGTCTGATCCAGCTTTTTCTAGCATGACACATCGAGGCATTGTTTGTAGGAGAATGAGAATGATGAATTATCAGAAGCATGGAAAGACAGTAGAAAAATGAGAACTTTGAACAGTTTACTTCCGACCAGAAATGAACAATATCCCGTTTATTCTATATTTATGTACATCGGAAAACTTTTCACCTGAATACCCCTGTGAAATCAACCTCTCTATAAAACATAATGAATCAATACATAGTTGATTAGAATAGTCAGTAGAAATACGCTGCTTTAAAACGATGATGACTATGAAACTTAAATTAAAAGACGATAAAGTACGAGCAAAGCTTTAGAGGAGCTAATATGAAATACATTTCAATTAGCCGATATCCCAGTAACTTAATAATGTTATCCAGCTATGCGTTTCCATCAGTTTGAGGTTGTGAACCTTTATCGACGGAACTGGCTGGGACATTTCACCTAGTCAGCATCTGTGCAATGCAAGCTAAAGTAGCTCTAAGTTGGAAAAAGGTTAAGAGTGGTCAGGCTGAAACACGCCACCAGTCCCTGAAGTCTTTGGCTGTTGGTCCGAGACATGTAGGGCAATTTAGACTTCCTGGTTGGGACCTGCGTGACAGTAGAAACCACTAGGTGGGGACTGTATGTGACATGGCTCAGAATCTATCAGTGTCCACGCCTTATCTTAATCTTCAAAGCGAATTTAATACTTTCCTATTTCTCCTTGTTACCTTTTGACGACGTTATACCATTTTGACTTCTCTCTACTTTATTTCATTACCTTTCACCGTAGTACACTCCCACTAGATGTCTTGATATGAGTTGTGATAACTTGGATTGTTACTCAGTAGTGTCAGGTCCCACGCTGATGCCGATGCAATTATCTTTAGGAAAGCATTCGTGTAGCGTTTGTAGGACATAACACATACCACCGAAGACATCTCTCTACCATTAATGGTCCATACATAACACAACTAAAACGACTAACAAACCCTGTAAACAGCTAAAGCAAACGTAATGAGTTTATATGTTGAAACTTTGTAAAAATTACTGATCAAACTCGTCTACTAAGCTACGTCACAAGTGTTATGCCATGGATACTGATTCTACGTGGTTGGTGAAAACCTGTAAAACCGGGTGTTTTCCGACCTCATGAACCAAAAAACTGAAGTTTATCGATTATATCAACAAGACGATTGCATGATATTGGCGATCAAAGGTGTGGCTCATTGGTTTACGTGTTCAACTTTCAAATAATAGATCCTGCGTAAAAATTCCTCTGTACCTACTTCCGTTTGAGCAACCCAGTAGCACACCAAAACCCTCACACCATAAGTGCAGCTCATAGCCTTGTTAATAAACAGATGTGCGGAGTTGAGTTACATTATTAAGGTGCATCTCAGTAACAAACCTTTGACTTCTGTCTCACGCCAAATTCCATCCCACTGAAACTTATGCAGTCCAAAGGAAGACTCTGCTTGAACCTCTGTGAAAACAGAACGTTCATGTCGTAGAAATTTAGCCCAGTAATGATCCCAGTTCCCTTCCGTTCCACCAATACTCACACGAACGTATGGATTATTCTCCAAAGGTTTTGAAATAGTTGCAAATCTATGGTTTGTAAAAAGGCAGAGAAAATGAGAAACCTTTTTGGTTGGAACGAAATATCCTATCAAAGTACATAAATTAATAACGATAGCTGCATGAACTAACTAATAACCATGACTGTGATCTTTTGTAGGTGAGTTTCCAGTTAGTATAACAAAACTAGCTGACTTAGAATTGTCACACAACCTTCAGCAAAAGTGTTGCTTTGTATACACTTTTGTCCATTTTAATTTCTGGAGAAACTTCTTCTGGCATCTGCTCTCGAAAAAAGTCCAAGAAGAAAATACTAAAGACTTTCTAACAAGAATTATGATTAAGATATAGCTACTACTGTTTGAACACTAACTGCTTTTAGTAAGACTTCTTCAACCAACTCGTCAGGTCTTACAGCTGGTAGAACTGATTTACAGCGATGCAACAAATAAAGTTCTAAAGTTGATCCAGTCGTTGGTTGGCAGTGACGGGTATATCAAACAGTTCACTATCAATACACATCTAATAGTTCATGGTTTACGATAGTTGTTGGAATGAAAGAATACAGAACAATCCAAGCTTTTCGGTGAATGAATGCAACTTACTAAAACGCCGTGAATGGTGCTAACTGGTCTATTGTCGAACGACAAGTTAAGAGACAACAAGTTTTACGCCACAATAACTTTTTGTGTATACTAACATAATCATGCGTGAACTAAGTAGAAGTATTTGTGTAGACCACAATAATGGTTACATTTCATCTTCTACGACCCAATGTGAATTGGCTATGGATAAAAGGAAAACCAGATCAAGCATCACACAAAAAACTTTGAACGCCGCCTGATATGTTTATTCTGACAGATGTTTGACTTCGCCTATTAAGCTGATTTTTTCTTCTGCTGAACACTTGTCATCTACAACTGACCATTACACTTTTCTGATCCTGCGGCGTCTTTTTCACTAACAATATGTCATTGTTGCTATAAAAAATCTCAGTTGATTTGCGTCTCAATTACCTATAAAATTCCAACCGTGCTTTGTAGGCTAAATCTCCATGCATCAACCAATCCAAATGAAACCACCATTTAACATTTTATTAACAGCACAAACTTTGTACAGTATAGTATGGGATTATGTAGAGGCCAAAATACAACTGAACCAAAAATAGGCTTATGTACAACTTTATAAGCTTTGCTTATGTGTGAGATCCTGTTACACTACTCAGTTGCCGAGAACGAAAGTGTTTGAAAGATTGTAGGAGATAAATTAAAACATTGGGAAGAAAGCTATCTTTACATTCTTAGTTTGTCTCAGCTGGCCCCTCTCGGCTGAGAATATCCAACGACACTGCATCTTCGATCACCTTAGTCTCTATGGGATTGCTCGCAGTAAGCGAATACATCATAAAAATAATTCTGAGGTGAGGCAGCGTATGTTTGGGTATGATGGAGATTGTCATGAATTCAAAATAATCATCAATAAATACCGGTCTTGATGGGTTCGATATATGTTACGCATGTCGTACCAGTGTGCGTCATATGGCTCACCGGTTGTAAGAAGCGGACAGACGGCTAATGTATGAAGTGGCACCCTAGAATGAAGGGTTCTCGTGTTAGCTTAGCATTTTTACCTGCATCACGATTCCCTGGATGGAGTTCGACCGATCTTACAACCCAGTGGCCTGAGATGATGGTAGACTCATCATCATCATCATTATCAACATAGGACCAGGCATTACTGCGTAACGGTCCGAGTTGCCACACCTCATATCAGCACATCAAGTAAAAAGGTAGTGAGGTGAAGGATGAAGATAAGTGAATGCAGTCAAAAGAAATATAAAGTATGAGAAGAAAGGAAAGAGGAGTGACAAAATAGTGAGATTCGGTATAGCGTTGTTAAGATGAGGATAATGTGTGTATACATCTGCGCCACTGACTTCGGTTCTGAGCCATATCACCTAGGGTCTCCAACCACTGGTTCCTCTTGTCCCGTGGACCCCAACCACCTAGTCTGCATCGTCCTACATGGCTTAAACCAACAGTCAGAGACTTCATACATTGGTGCCATGTTTTAGTCTGGCCACCTCGGGCCTTTTTCCAGCCTGAACCCACCTCAGCCAACATTGTGTGACGAGGCAATCGGTGACTAGGCATACGTAGTACGTGTCCCAACCATCTCAGTCGATGAAGGTTCACAACCTCGTCGACTGACTTACCTCTTCTCCCTAAAACTCTACACCTAACTTCTGCATTACTCACATGGTGACACCACGGAATACGTCCTATACTACGAAGGCAACGGTGGTCAAATACCTGTAACCTTCTCATGTCTTCCACTTTCAATGGCCATGTTTCACAGCCATACAGTAGAACAGAGCGGACTGCTGTGCAGTACACGCGACCCTTAATAGACAAACGAATATCACGGCGGCGCCATAGGTGGCGCAAATTGGCAAAAGCCAATCGAGCCTTTTGTATCCGTGCAGAAATCTCATCGGCAACTAACCCACCAGGGTTGATCCTACTTCCCAGGTAAGTGAAGTGGTCAACACACTCAACCACTTCACTCTCTATTGTTAACCGCGGTACCGCTGAAGACCAGTCCTGGAGCAAAAATTTGCATTTGGGTGGTGAAAATCGCATCCCAAACATTCTCAAATTCCCACTCAAAGTGTTCAGAAGACTCTGCATCTTGTCAGCGTCTTCACCTAACAGGACTATGTCATCTGCATATTCTAGATCTAAGGAAAATTCACCTGTGATCCGGTCAACGTCTTTGTAATTAGGTGACGAGAGGGAAACCTCCATAAGAATATCTATGATAAAATTAAATAAGAATGGGGATAGTGGGCATCCTTGACGGACACCACTTGATGAGTATAGCTCCCTGGACAACTCACCATAGGCTCTAACATGCCCACAAGTGTTCGAGTAGAGAGCTTTCAATAAGGTGATGTACTTACTAGGCACGCCTTTCAGTGACAGACACTGCCATAAGACTTCTCGATCAACGGAGTCAAATGCCGCCTTCAGGTCGAGAAATACAGCTATTGTCGGGCGTCTGTAAGCATGCCTATGTTCCAGGACCTGGCGCAGTGTGAATATTTGGTCGATACATCCACGGCCAGGTCTAAAGCCTGCCTGGTTTTCTCGGGCTTGCTGTTCCCGAGCTCCACTCAGGCGTCGGAGAATTATAGAACTTAGGATCTTAGACACTATGTTTGTCAGGCTGATTCCTCTGTGGTTATCACAAGAGGACTTCTCGCCTTTCTTGAAGACTGGGATGATGAGTGACTTAGACCAGTCGGAGGGGATCGTATTTGATTCCCATATACTGGCTAACACTTCCGTTAGCCTGACTAAGAGAACTCTACCACCATTCTTGTATACCTCAGCAGGTAGTCCGTCTGGTCCTGCTGCCCTTCCCCGTTTCAGGCTACCTACCGCTTTCTCAACTTCTTCTAGTGTTGGGGGACCTGTCTCTATGTCCCATTCAGGGTCCGACTGGATAGCGGGCAGCGCAATGGTGGCTGGAGGCCAGTTAAACTGTTCCTCAAAGTGTTCTGCCCATCGTCCCAGTCGCCTTCCCTGCGAGTGAATCGCCGATCCGTCCTTCTCCGCTATAACCTCACTAACTGTTGTTGACCATTTCCCCCCAGTCTCCTTAATAAGTCTAAATAACTGTCTACTGTTACCGATCGCCGCTGCCTTTTCCATCTCTTTAGCCTTTGCTGCCCACCACTGTTCACGATCGTTGCGCAGACTTTTCGTCAGTTATTTTTAAGTTGCGCTCGCTCTTCATTGTACTCAGAGCCTGCAGGGATGCATTCACGTGCATCCATTAGTTTGGAAGAAGCTGCTGATATCCACTGGCTCTTTTTAGCCATTATCTTGGAGTCGGCTACAGTCTCCAGTGCTGCTTTTACAGTAGACTGAAGATGGCACCAAGCTTCTTCTGGATGAGTGACAGTCTTTTGTTCCGATAACTGCCTAGCCAACTTCTCACTGAACACGGCTTTGGTGTTTTCGTTGTCCAGCAGAACTCGTAGTGGTTTTGTTGCCAAATTTTTTCTACGTCCATTGAGACGCAGGCATATACGTGCTCGGACCAACGCATGATCGCTGTCCAAACACGTACTCCAGAAGGAGCGGCAGTCTTCCACCGATCCTCTCCAGCGATGACTAATAGCAATGTGGTCTATCTGTGTCCATCGCTGAGTCGAGCTCGGTGGACGCCAGGTCAGACAGTGCCTTTCTTTATGTCTGAAATTTGTGCTGGCTAAAAATAGGCGGTTATCTGAGCATAGTTGTAATAGGCGATCACCGTTATCTGTACGTTCAGCTGGGATTCCGAAAGTGCCACCTAAGTGCCTTTCTGCCTCACTCAGTCTACCCACCTGTGCGTTGAGGTCACCTGCAACAACCACTACGTCCGAACGTTTGGCTTTCGAGAGGAGGTTAGACAGTTTATGGTAGAACTCGTCCTTCACTTCATCCGAACTACAGTCAGTGGGTGCGTAAGCAGAGATTACAAAGAGACAACGGCGAGTCTCACTATTCCTTTTAGTTCTCACTGTGCCGTTCAGCCTCATAGCGCAGAGGCGACTATCAACTGGGATCCAGTCTAGTAGTGAGTTTTCTGCCCTGGTGCTTAATGCTATACCTACACCTGCAAGACCACGAGAGCTAGCTATCGAATCTCCAGAAACTCGAAGGGTGAATTTTGCAGATTCACCAGATTGGTCAGGAGAGGTCAGGTGAATAACCACACTTGGGTCCTGTATGCGTGTCTCACAAACACAGCACACATCCATGCCTCGAGTTGCTAGAGTCTTTGCCAACGAAGCCTGTTGGCCAATTTGACGGAGGGTGCGGACATTGAAGGCTCCAATATGTAATTTGGAGCGTGGTTTAAGGAGACCAGGGACACTGTTCTGTGGACTCAGATCGTTGTCGAAGGCTGCAGAGGTAGGAGAAATTGAAGATGATGCAGCATCATTAATTAAGAGACGTGAAGGAAGATTAGAAGGTAATGATGGAGGAGGAGGATAGCAGTCAGAAGAAACTTGGGTGCTGACAGAGTTGTGAGGGCGGTTGACACTTCCCGGCTGCCCACACCGTGGAAGGCTATTTCTTCTTAAGGTACCTGAAAGAGATTTGTGTGACCGCAGAGCCCATCGGACATCTGCTTGAGGCCTGTCACACCCAGCCTTTTGAGTATGATTATTTTGAATTTTTGTATTTTTGGGGCCGGATGGTCGAAAGGAAACGACAAGTGAACCAACACCGCCGGCCCGGCAGACCGTGGGGCGTGGTGGAGTGTGTTATTTTTGGGGCCGACCTTTTCTAACCCCCCCTTCCACTGAGAAGGCAGCATCAGCTTGGCACTGCTGGTCATCCAAGGGAAACACCTTACTGCTGTCACACCCCATCCAGCTAGCAGCAGTACGACTTCGCCCTCAGACCCCCATCATAGTATAGCAATTTACACTATGACGGTAACTGCTTTTCGTCTAACCACTACCCAACAGACCTTTCTGGTATGGTAGGACCTCGAGGGAACAAGCGTTCCACCAGCATAGCTCGTTGGGTCATTGTGATATGCAAGCCCGACCACCACGTCAAGGTAGCAGCTATCGGTCGGGTGATGGTAGACTAGACTCATCATCAAAATTAATAATGATTATACTGTAGTTTTCTTGTTTCTTCTCCTACTAGAAAGTACAATGAATGTAGCAAATGCTTCTTGGGTAGTGGTAGTGGTTCTTTAATAAACCACTTCTGTTTTGCTTTACACTTCATTCTCCATTTTCTGTATCTTGATGCTCATGTTGCACCAAGTTTGCGTTTCCTCCATTTTTCCTCTTTTCTCAGCTAGATACAAACTCAAGATGTCAGAATCCAGTGGTATTACTACAATTTTGGTGCTGAATGTAAACAAAGCATGGGTGTTGTAGACGGAGGGATGTATTGTGCGGACGAAGTTGTGCACATCCAACCTTCTAAAAAAATCTTTACGTCACGGCATTATTGTATGTGAGGCGAATTAGAATACATAATTTTTTTAGGAGATGTCACCCATTACCTCAAAAAAAATACAGCTAAATAATGATATAATTTGTATTGGAATTTGTGACCTTTCTATGTACCAACTGTCACGTCTTTGTAGTACCGTAACTGAGTAGCGCAAGTCAACAGTGCTGACTTTCACGGATACGATACTTGTTATGCTGACACTAGGGATAAGTTAGCTACGCAAAAAGTCAAGTCATATCATTACTCAACAAAAAAAGCAACAAAACTTGCGGGACAAAAAAGCACTAGAAAGTGTAAATTACTTAGAAACCATTTGGTTCGAACCGATCTCCACATCAACATCAGCAAATTCAGCATGACGGGCGAAATTGTTTAGACGGACGTTTCCACATGCCTTGGTAACTCCATCAGTTCCATGTGTCATCGACATTCGGGCAGTAACAAATCGTTTTTCAACAACTTTGAAAGTAATCTTACCATAAGAATAACAACAAAGAAATATATGGAATTACAGAGAACTATGTACTGTTGAAAATGCGATTAAGATTGCCTAAAATAATTTCACTTTGACAAACCTGAAACAAGAGGAATTTTAAAAATATTAACCAAACTTTTTCCTGTACATACGAAAGTGAGTATACCTAACGATTTTATTTACGATAAGTAAACAAAAATACCAAAGTTAAAACTACCTAAACAGACGTATCTAAAAGTATGTCACCTACTTGACCCTACGCGAAAGTATGTTTTGATTTACAGTGACTTACCAAAGATCATTATGAAACTTACTAGGTCCCTACTTCTTCCGCTTTAATTTAATTAATGGTGGGCTGTGGGCCAGTTGAACTGTGTTTTAAAGTGTTTCGTTTCCGTTCTACTTACTTGCAACGTGAGATTACCAGGCTCCCATTATTTCCATCGATGTCCTGACTAACCATCGTCTTTGTATCAGTATCCTTAATAAGCTTATGTAACTGAAGGAAATTACCTAGAGCTGATGTCTTTCTTGGACTGTCACAGTAGCCCTGGTAGGCTAGTGACCAATTATACTTCAACACTAGTATCAAAGGCTTGATTAACTTATGTTAACTTCCAACAACTATAGTGCATGTGAGATAACCTAATGCCTTTTGTGTCAAGTATACTGCGCAGTTTGCTGAACACTAATCTATAGCTATGAAATATCCACTAAGAGTGGAAGGTTCGAGAAACTTGCAGGAAATTGACTACTAAAGAATTCAAAAGAAAGTTCAACAAACAAACCTTCACGATAGCACTTAATAAAACTGTACAGTCACACTAACAAGCATTGGAAACAAATGATAGTTGATAATTAATCAGAAGCGTGGGTCACTTCATTATTATTATGTTCAAGAACAGGACAAAATCCCTGAAGACAGAAAGGAACTAGGTAACACATGTGATAATGGTAATCATAAATTTCGTTTGACTGTGTGAACAGTTCCCAGATATGAAGTGGTTAGATGCCTAGTTGACGAACTAAAATAAGGTGAGAAAAGAGGATTCTGATAAAAATTGCTAAATGTCAACTAATTACTTATCTCTGATTAAGAATTCGTACTTTCGACGAATTTGACTACTGTTACCTTACGAGTATCATACTGTCTGAAGGTTCACAGTAGTGGTGGATAAAATAAGTAAGTTGGATGATGAGGCTTCAAATTTCTGTCTTCTGAAGTGGCTTGAAAATGTGCCTCAGTTATCAAGTGGCCTCTTACTTTAACTCCATACGTTTACCGAAGTGAAACAAAACCAGAGAAAAGCTGAGTGGTCAGACGAAAATGTGGGACCAATTCGTGAATCTTCTAATTGTTAATCTGATTGTGTAGGGAAACTCAGGTTTACGGGTTGCAGTTCACAGGACAGCCAAGACCAGTGGTTACAGCTACTATGATATTTGGCTCAGAATCGTTCCTAATGTCACAGATGGATGTATGCCTCATTTTCTGCTCAGAATTTACATCGCGCCGAACTGTTTGAGTCCCAACCAATGAGTCACGGATTCGAAAACCGCTTCGTTTACAGACGTTTTGGCAGCTTGGTAGTATCATTAGCGCTCAATAAGTGTGACTCATTGCTGACTGCAAGAATGTCCACAAGGTTGCTGAGTGCGCTCCATTTGCTCAGCTTTTATTCAATTGGTCTTAACTTTTATGAAATTTCAAGCTTCTTACAATATTCGTTACGTTTCTTTTCGTTAGCTTCACCTAAATGTGGTGGAAATTGTGGCAACCTGAAGTGATAACGATGTAACTCAGTAAACACAAGGTTTCACCATCCAACTGCTTACAACAAGGAAATTTACAAAGAACGAAAAATACGTCAGCATTTTAGACTGATGTGCACGAGAATACATGTCGCCTATTGAACGTATACTCTGCCTACACTTCGAAACTCTCAAGTTCTCAAATTATCGAAGTATGCACGTGTTTTCAAATCGAACTTACCTTATAAGCATCCGGTTTCAAACTATCTCCAGAAACATCCACAACCGCGTAGACAGATTTGAAGACGCCAAGTTTAACGAGTCTTTCTTTAGCCTCCTTTACATTATGAAAGAGATCTCGTAAGTTCTGAGACTTCACCAAACCTACAAACTTCACACAACAAAATTAGGACTGGAATCCTCCTTTTACTTGTTTTTTAACGATAGATTCGTGCGTTCTATCCAATCCAGAAACTACAACCTCTTCCACAGAGGCAGGCATTGCCGCTAGATCGAAATAAGATTGAGGAGGCATGTTAGATTATCGACCAGCTGATGAGAAGACTACAACTTAATTCTGTGTTATTACAGTATGTGGTGCAAAGATAGAAGGTACTACTGAGTTACCACCTGGATGACAACTACGAAGCGTAGCGTACACATTGACACACTCCGCGTAACAGGCATCCTTCAGGGTATCCAATATCCAATATTGATGGTGCAAGAGTAGAAAACTGATAGCTTTGATCTCTCGCGTCTAGTTCTTAGGCTTGGTTCGAGTTGTTTGGTTTACTTCTGCAGTGGACGAGGAAATTCCCTCTGCTTTCTTGCTTTTATCTTCGGTGAGGTGGATGTTTTGTCCGTTAGTAAGTTGTAACTTGTAGAGCGATTGGGGAGCTACGGGTTGTTAGGAAGGTTAGGGAACTGCTGTGATTCCCGCCCGTATCTGAAAGAGAATAGTAAGGTAGTGGTAAAGAGTGAAAAAGTGGAGGAAACGAAAAAAGGAGGAGAAAAAGAAAGAAAGGGGGTAAAGAAGAGAAATAAGGACAGAGAAAAGCATGTGGGAGTTGCCCGAGACGTAAATGTCCAACGCCTATCTAAAAATGGCTACAAATTGCCAGCAACAGAATAGAAGTGGCTTTCTCCCGGTCAACTTCCTTTTCCGGGAGCAGTACGTTACAAATTCCTTGGATCAGTTTCAGTTCAGTAGCAGTCTCAGTTTCAGTTATGAGGATCGTAGGCCCGCTGGCCTGCATTAATAGTTGCAAAAGATATCTCTGTGAAGATCCAGTTTTTTTTGAACGCGTTGACAGAAGGTACTGATACTACTTGCTGAGGTAAGGAGTTCCAGACGTTGACAACACGATGGGCGAAACGCAGATTCACGCTAAGTTGATTCGATCGCGGTTTTACAATTTTCTTGTTATGTCCTCGGAGATAGTCAGTTCCAGCAAGGGAGAAAAGATGGGACATGTCAGTACTGAAGTCATTATTAAGAATACGAAATGCCAGTATGAGATCTTCCCGTCTTCTATGGTAAGAATGGGAATAAATTCAGCTGATCTAGTCGTTCTTCATGGGACAGATTCGAAAGGCTTGCCACAGGCTTAGTACCTACCCTCTGAACACGCTCGAGTGCGCCAGAATCCTTTTTTAGGCTTGGGCTGGCTGCCCGAATGCAGTATTTCGAGTGAGGTCTAACGCAGGTAGAGCACAGTACTCCAAACATGTCCTCATCAAAAAATTTGAAAGCTCTGCAGAGGGATCACAGTATACGGAAGCCCTCAGCTGCAGCTGCATTACAGCCTGCCGAGGTTTTCAAATCATGACTAACGATGACGCCCAAGTCTTTTATATCAAGGACTGGAAGTAGTGGTGTACCATCAACGAAATACTGGAAACAACTGCTATGACCGATGTGCATTATTGCACTTTTATTAGAATTGATTTCCAAGCACCAACGTATGGATCAACCTACTAGTTCATCTAAATCCGCCGAAGTGCATACCTATCTGCATCACTGTGCATGGCTCTCCAAATCTATACATCACCAGCAAATAACAGTACCCAACAGTTCAGCATATTGGCAATTCGCTGATATATAATGAGAAAAGTAGTGGATGCAGGTCATCGGGACCTGGGGATTTTCCAGGTTTAAGGTTAATAAGCAATTGTAAGACTCTTTCCTTTGTTGTGAACACTGTATCTATTAGTGGAACAGTGCTGACTCCACTATTTAGTACTTCATCGTCATGATCTACAGAGAAGACTTCACTGAAGTAATCAGAGAGACACTCAGCTTTGGACAGATTAGATTCCGCCAGACAATTGGACTTCTCATCCGTCGCCAGAGAGGGAATTCTGCTTTTTCTTTTAGTCCTCCTTCTGACGAATGCGAACAGTTTTGGCAATCCCTCACAAGCTGCTTCTCGTAGGACATTCGAGACCGTGTAATCAAGGTCTTGCAGGGATTACGGCTTCACAGTACTCAGTCTTAAATGTCTCCAGTCCAGTTTTTTGAAACACGTCCCATAAACTTTTCCTTCGCCTAAACAGTCTCTTAATGTCCTTATTAAACCACGGAGGGTAATGTGAGGATGGCCGCCGAGTCAAATATGGAATAAATGGCGTCGTTACTCCTTTAAATGGAGTTCCAAAACTATTCCATGCATTCTCAGTTGATGAGGCCTTGACGACAGTTCAATCCTTACTGATTGCGCAACCCCTTACGCTTGAAATGTCCGCACGCCATACATTAGGTCTAGGGGGCAGCGTCATAATCAAACTCATTAGTCCGAAGACCAAACTTTAGTGCTACATGGTCACTGTTAGCCAATGGAGGGAAGTATCGTAGATCCAGAACGTCTTCACAATGATGGGTTAAAACTAAATCTAATAACGACGACTTGTTTGGTAATGATGGGCAGTGGCTAGCAGTGGAATCCAGGATGCGCATTTCTTCCTACTTGGGACTCGTAAGCTGGACGTACTTGCTTCCCAGTGAGTGATGTTGTTCCCATCCGGGGCTCAGACTCGGGAGCGATCGCGCGTTACCCACTACACCACCGAGCCACAATGGCCACTTCTTGTGCGACGGGTATAGGTTTAGTGTTATTGCTTGTATTCCACCGTCGTTGATTGGACCGAATTGATCAGTCTCTGTTGGCATATGGACTCCTATGCGGGTGCCTCGATATTGCCCGTCTTTTAACTGTGTTCAGCAGTGATGGGCAGTGACTAGCAGTGGAATCCAGGATGCGCATCTCGTCCTATTTGGGAAGGACGAACATCCAGCTGACGAGTCCCAAATGGGACGAGATGCGCATCCTGGATTCCATTGCTAGTCACTGTCCATCACCGCTGAACATAGTTAAAAGACGGGCAATATCGAGGCATCCACATAGGAGCCTATATGCCAACAGAGACCGGTCAATTCGGTCCAATCAAAGACGGTGTAATACAGGCAATAACACTAAAATGATGCTTGTGTTCAAAATCGTAGCGCGTTGCACATGCTACGTTTTGAACTAAAGCAGATTCTAAGACCGTCAAAAGTAAGCCATTTTTGAAGGAAACACCTGATGGTGAGACCTTTAGCCCCGTCCAGTTTATGTGTGGAGCATTCAGATCCCCAACTGTTAGGCATCTGCTACACCTACTCCAGTTACATATATGGGTTAGCACGAAGTCATTTGCAAGGCAGGATAGACTACGGTAAATGACCCCGATAGTACAGAAACCAAGCTTTGACTTCAGCTCGCAAGTGGCCACTTCACAGTTCCGGCATTCTTGCGCTTCATAAGTGAATAATCGTGCGTGGACGTCATCCCTAACATATAGTAGTATGCTGCCACCTTTGCGACCCACAACCCTATCCGTCCTTACACAGTCATACCCTGCGAGGAGTGGCGTAAAATCTAGATCCCCGATCAACCCGGTTTCAGCAAGGGCTAATACGTCAGGATCTAGCCCGCAGATCACAGTCTCGAGGTCTGTCGTTTATCTTCTAATACTGCTGACGTTATTGTAGATAACTGTCATTGGGTTGGAAGAGTTCCATGGCCCACTCACATAAGCCTTGGAAGCATTCGCTTCCAAAAACCTCACAACCCGAAAACCCAATATTTTAAGATCATTTTCACTATTAGCCTGTCTAGCCTTAAGTTCGGCAACAGCTTCTCTTCTTCTCATGCGGTTCTCGAGGGGCCAGTCAGGTCGGAAGCGGATATCCGAATTTCGTAGTTTGGATGCGTCAAGAGTCCATCCACTTCATCCCTGTTGCCCAAAACAACCTCTAAAATTCTCTTATCATCAGGTTTTTCGTCCGTTTTCCTACCTAGCCTAACCACTTTGGAGACGTGGGCCCCTTTAGACTTTTCAGGCAGAATACATCTGATGGCCGCATCGACTAGTTGCAGGTCATGGCCGTGACGTATTGAGGCGTCTTTTTCTGACGACTCCTCAACATTCCAGAAGATCGAACTGGGCGCTGGAGTGGAATCCTCGAGTGGTATGTTGACGGCCTTTGAAACCTTCTCAATAGGTTTCACAAGCATAGTATCTTCCGTGATAACCTTTGGCAGTCCCTTCGGATGCTTTCTTGGAGGAATCCATGTAGATTCGTTGACCACTTCTACAGAGTCAACGCTGTTACCAGAGATGCAGGCTTTCAGTGAATCCTCAGGCATTATGGTTGGTATACCATTTGCCCTTGGCTTTCTCTTGCATCGGCTACTCTTCAGGACTGGTGTAATTTCGCCAACTGGATCACCAGCATCCACTGGTCCACTGAGAGTTCCTGTGTCAGATATATTAACTACTGCGCTTACAGCGTCATCATCTGATACCGCATTGGAATGACAACTATCATTTCCACATAGCTGTTTTTGCTTCCTGAACGAGGGTTGGCAGTGGCTTACAACAGGGAGAAGTTGGTTCACTGCAACGCTTGAACACGGTTGGTGTCAATCCCGTACAAACTTTGTGGAACCAACATCCACGTGCATCACGCTGCATACCGTCATCCACAGGAAGTTTACAGCTGGGACGACAGCAAACATGCTTATTGTTGACCATGTTATTCACTCGTCTCATACACTAACTAAAGTACTCGGTCAAAATTCCGACAGGGGGACTTAAGTTATGACAACACAAAGACCAACCTTAAGCCACGAAAAATGATCAAACTTCAAACACTGACTTAAGTGCTTCAAATCGACGGTTATATGAAAGCTCTTGATGTGGATTACACAATAAAATCAAAAATGTCAAAAGCATGGAAAAACTCACTTCCTGTTTTCAAAGTGCACGTGAATCGTTAATCGATTCACTGAACAAATAAAGGGAAACGGATGGGGATGAAACAGAAAAAGCCAGTTGTGATTTAACCCACTCCCACGTCGTAATTTGGCATCCAGTCGATTAACACAGGACTCGGAGGAGTTGACCCCAAACTCTCCAGCAGGGATAGCGTTCTAGGATCAAACAATTATGGGGAGTCAAAGTTGTCCCTGATATCTGACCTGCCGTGCGTCA